GATGACTAACAAAAGTACAATCGAAATGTCATCAAACATCACAAGAACCACAATAAAGTCAGACCCCAAGTTTCTTTGGTCTTACACGGATTGCCAAAGTACAACCGACACCAAAAAACCCCTTCCAAAACAGAAGACAACGAAACTCGCAACACATGAGACTAAAACTCAAACACAGTCGGGACTTACCAAAAACACAAAAGAAACACACACACACACACCTAAAACACAATAAAACATATAATAAAGATTCTCCTACTAATCGCGAATCCGCTACTAATGCCAACTACCCAACACATGGCCACATTCCAGACCAAAAACAAAAAGAGAACGCAAATCTCAAGCCCTCAGAACTAAACTCCAGTCAGAACTCGAACGACTATACAGATATGGCGAGAGTCCAGATCTGAACCTCAAAAAGCTTCAATCGGGAGTGGGCTAGACGCCGAGAGTCAATCCCAAAAACACAGTTGAATGAGTCGTTGTATTCGATCCCCACGCACGACCACAACGGAGAAGGCAAGGTGGAAGGCTCGATGGAAGTTCTATCGTTGTTGGTCTCCATCCGCAACTGAAAAAGCAAGGCGAAGAGGAGGGGTTGTCAACGTCAAACCGAGCTCGTGGCGGGAGGAGAAGAGCAGACAAAAAGTGTTCAGATATTTGGCCCAAACCCAATCCTTATCTCAGACCCATGGAAGCCCCGACCCAACTCCCGTCTAGGCCTGAACCCCACACACTTAATTGGCATGGATGGCTCTGGACCGTTGGATTTCGGGATTAAATCCCCACCATCTATCTTGACTCTTACATAGCTTGTCTTGCCCTTTTTCTTATACATCACTCTCTCACTCTCTTTTCTCTCTCGCTGCGACTGAACTCTCTCTCTCACTCTCTTTTCTCTCTCGCTGCGACTGAACTCTCTCTCTCTCTCTCCCTCCCTCCCCTCTCTCTCTATTCTCTCACTCTTCGAGTGTGAATGCCGCCGTGAGTGTTATCGGAGTGTCGCCACTGTCCCTCCTCCTCACTTCAGTCACAGGCTTTTGTGGTGCCTCGGGTGACTCTGTGTGCGGAGGAGAGGACTTGGCGACGAAGCTGGGCTCAGGCTTGGCTCGCGTCTGGCATGCAACCCAGGGATATGGCCGAGGAACCAGGGCCGCCGTTCGTGGATCACCATCGAGCCGTGACTCACCGAGGGTGCTGGGTGTAAGAACGATCTGAGCCGGGAGACTTCGTGTTTTTATCAAGGTTGTCAAAACCGGACCGGACCACCCGATCCGACCGATTTAATCGGGAACCGACTAGCACTCCGGTCCGGTTTGATGTGCATAACTGTCTGTGCCACAAACCGGTCAAAAACCGTTCCAACCGGTTAAAATCCGACAAGCTGGGGACGGTTCGCACGACCAAGCGGCTGGTTCAATCTGACACTGGTTCCCTTAGTTCTATGTTAAATATACAGTTGCATTGCATTCCACTTCCAATGTGGGACAAAGACATATGAGAGAAAAGCTGGGCCAGGATGATTTGAAGGAAATGGGCCTGATTTGAAGCCCACCACACTCTCAATTGGGCACTACAAACTAAAGAGACTAGTGGGAAAGTGTATTTTTATGTTTGGCCCAATTCATTTGTTATTTTCAAAATTACTTATAGACAGTAATCAACATTATTTGTTGTATTTATTATTGAGTTATTATTCAGAGAAATGTCATACACTATAAAATTAATGATAAATATATATAATTATATCTTATTCATATAAAATAAATAAAAAATTATATATTAATTAAACCGGTTCGACCACTGGTCCGACCAGTGAACCATTGAACCAGTAGCTTCACCGGTTCGATGATCGGTCCGATTTTGAAAACCATGGTTTTTATTAACCGGCCAGATTCCAGCAAACAAAAGAGAGATTTCTTTCCTTTCTCTCATTTTCAATTTCCGCATATTTTTTTTAGTTCATTTTTTTCTCTTTTAGCTTGCTGATTTTCACCATTGTATCTTGGTTTGTTTTGCACCTCAAAATGGGCGACTGAAGAGAATGTTGGGATCTGACCAGAGTCAAAGAGAGCTGTTCGGGAGTCCCGAAGACGGGCAACACCCCCGTTGAGCTCGAGAAGGTTTGCGTGCGACCAGACGAGCTCAGAAAGACACTTCTGCAGCAGATGGTTTTAGTGGTGGATAGTGGGACGACCATACAACAAGAAGAGAAAGGGGGGTGCTCATTGTCGTAATTTTAATTTTCTTTGGAGGAGATTTTTTCTTTTAATTAAAAAAAATGTCAAAAGGAATATAATATTGAGCTATTATCCTATCTGAAAAGAAAAAATTGCAAAGTTTAGCCAAATTGGACTGTTTCCAATATGATTACAAAAAGTTGTCATTTAATTTATTTTGTTGCAATTTTGTCTCAAAATCATAATTCTATTAATATATCAATGGAATATTGATTGGCCTTAGATGGTGATGCAAAAGTACAAAAATTGCAAAATTGGTCTCATAGGATATTTGAGTTGCATATTTGATCCTAAAATTTACAAAATTGATCATAAATATTTTTTATAGCAAAAATGCATTATTTTCTCTGAAATATGCTAAACCAATTTAACAATTTTATAAGAAGAAACGTCAAAAAATGGTCTTCAATAAAAGCCAATTCTAATATGTAATACGTGAATAAATCATTCGACTCCAAATTAGGGTTAGAGAAATTTAGGACTTCCAAATTAGGGTTAGAGAAATTTAAGATTAAGTCCGAATGAGATCCATTGTCAAATATAATTTGAAGGTCAAACTCAAGTCCAATAAGAGAATAATCAGATGGGACATACAAAGATTGTATACAAAAAATCATTTGATCAACACAAAATTAAGTTGGTACAAAATTTTTATATTTTTCATAAATTTGTTTTTACAAATTAACCGTCACATTCGGATTTAAAAAAAAAAAGTGAAAATGGTTAAGATAAAATATTTTTGATATAAAAAAGTCAAAAAGATAAAAATAATGAAAATACTGTTTTAAAGAAGTATTGTTTTAAATAATGAAAATATATAAAAATAAGGGAAAATTACATACATAACGGCCCTTGTATGTATATCTACATATTTACGGACTTGGTAAACATTAATCAGAATAGGATGAGGATGTAAATTTTGTATCAAATCTACGAGATTATTAATAAGACACCGAAATCTGTTTCTCTCTATCTCTCTCTCTATCTGTCTCTCTCCATATATTGATCATAACATTAATTCTCTCAAAAATCAATGCATTAGAAACGGAAGAAAAAAAAAAGAAACAAAAAGGAAAGGAACAAATATGCAAATTTTGATATCTATAATTCAGGTAATCACGAGTTCAAATTGGGAAATCGGATTTACATTGAAACAAGTCATTGCAATCCTAAAAAAAAAAACACAAACCGGTAAGCTGAACCAAAAAAAAATGATCGTGTTATTTGTGAAAAAAGATCGTGAAATAGCCGTTGAGACAAAACTCTTGAAGGTATATTACTGTTTTTTTTCAGATGAAGTACGAAATTATATTGATTGTGTTTTTTTTTTTTT